GGGTAATTTTGCCTGGGCTCGCGTGCCCACACAAGTGGCTCTGCATGCCATCTGTGGCACGCGTGCCATAGGTTTGCCATCAAGACTCCAGAAGATAGGCTTGAGATACAGAAGGATCTCGGCAGACTTGAACCCTGGGGCCTATCTAACAAAATGAAATTCGGTGTATGTGATGACCCAAAAGGGGCGTGGCACAAAGGCAACCCAGTCAGATAATCCCTAAGAGTCCCTTTACTATCTCCAAACTTTGCCCCTCAATGTCCTGGTTACCTTCTGGGCTGGAGAAAAACTCTCCCAGGTAAACAGCCTTTGGGCTGCCGAGAATCAAGTCCAAAATGTGGCCAACAAAAACGGTAACTTAAAGTCCAATCAAGGCAAAATGAGGTCCTTTAGTCCGGCAGGGCAGGAGAAGGAATTTCAGACGTGAAGGCACGGCGGTAATTCAACAAGGTTGGGAGGATGCCAGGAACACAGATAATCAAAGTCAACACAAGATAAACTCACGTTTGGTTCCCAGCAAATGCCGTTCTCAGCTTGCATGTCTTTTACACTCTCTTCCCAGCTGCAGCTAATGGAGAGGATCAGGGCCCTTTCCTCCCCCATAAGCCACCCAACCCACATTGCTCCCTTCTCCATTCCTCCCTGCATGCCCTAGGATGAAGAGGGGGTAGTGGGCCTGGGTCTTTCTCTGAACTCCCTCTCCCTTGTTCTACCTCTCTCCTTCTGCTCTGCCCAGCTGGACTTTGCCCTCCACCAGTTTCCTCCACCAGCCAGCAGAGCCATACTCCCACTCCCTGTCGGCTGTTCGTCTTCCTCCTCCTCAGATGACGGGGGCATGACAGTGTAGAGAAAAATGAGATTTTACACATAGGCAAGGGGGAAAAAAGCAGATAGACAGGTACTGGATAGATGTACCAGTAGTAGCTCCGTAGTAGTAACTGTGAATGGGATCTTGGGAGCCGTAGTCACTTAAACATGCGCCAGCTGTGTGCTGCAGCTACCCAAAAGGGCCTAGGGTGCATTAACAGAGGGACAGAATCATTAAGGTCATCGAAACCCAGCAAAAGGTGAAACTAGCTAGATATATAAACAGATCAGCTGAACAGAACAAAAAAAAAAGCACGTGCATCTTACAGACCCACTTTGACTTTGGCTGAAGAAACAAGGATGTATGAAGGTGTAGGACGAATGTTTATCCTTCATCCCAAAGAAGTAATTCACAATCAGCTGTTAGAAAACAAAAATGGCAGAAGGAAAAAAAATTAAGGAACTTAGAGCAAAATAAATCGTATTTGGAACGGAGCGTAAAAAGAAGCTGAAGATTAATATTTGGGAGATGCTCGCGGCTAGAAGAACACAATAAGTTTCTGGGATATTTGACAGCAGAGATTTTGAACCCTTCTTGTTAAACCTTCAAAGATGTGTGAGACATGAAGGACCTCACTCCAAGTTCTTCCAACTAGCTGCATCCTGTCAACCCAACCTTGTAGTTCAATGCACTAATAAACAATTTATATACCAAAAACAAACAAACAGAGGGACAGAATCACGTGAAATATTAGTACTGCTTTAAAAGCCCACAGTAAGACCCCAGAAATCCCTATGGGTTTTTCCCCCCCTACCTCCTAGAGGAGAGATTGCAGAGGAAGGGATTGAAAGAGAGTAAGCAAACCACAGTGGCGAATGCGCATCGCAGGAAGTGTTCATCGCCGCTTTATAATGCCTTGGTAAGGAGATCCTTGGCACCCTGCATCCAGTTTTGGTCACTGTGATGTTAAAAGGACGTTGAGACTCTAGAAAGAGTGCAGAGAAGAGCAACAAAGGGGATTAGGGGACTGGAGGCTAAAACATACGAAGAACAGTTGCAGGAACTGGGTATATGTCTAGTTTGATTAAAAGAAGGATTGGGGGGATATGATAGCAGTCTTCCAATATTTGAGGGGCTGCCCCAAAGAAGTCAATTCTTCAAAGCCCCAGAAGGCAGGACAAGAAACAACAGATGGAAACTGATCCAGGAGAGAAGCAACCTGGAATTCAAGATAAAAATATCCTAACAGTGAGGACAATTAGCCAGTGGAACTGCTTGCCACCAGAAGTTGTGGGGGCTCCCAACACCGGAGGCTTTTAAGAAGAGACTGGACAGCCCTTTTTGTCTGGAATGGTGTGGGGTTTCCTGCCTGCACGGGGGGTTGGACTAGAGGACCTCTAAGGTCCCTTCCAACTTTGTTATTCTTTTATTCTCCAGGGGAATCTTTAAAATGTAGGCAGGAAAGGATCGATTTGGGGGTCCAGGAAGGGAGAACGCGGTTCTGAGCCTTGGAGAGCAGACAAATGAGATGTCTAGTCCAGTTTTAAATATCTCTTTGGTTCAGTTCCTCCCTGCCGAAACGTCCCGTTTTTGTAACTCAGGTGCGAGTCTTACCTTCTCTTTGATTTCACTCACCTCCTCGGTTTGTTGTCGACAGAGCATCTCGGGCACTGGAGGAAGGACAGGCCACGGCCCAGCACGAGAAGATGTTGTGTGAGACCTGGTGCATGGAGGTAGGCCTCCTTGGGGGAAGGATTGAGGGGTGTGTGTGTTTAAGGATCTCTGGAGGGGCTGTCCCTGGACAGGGAGGGGGAGGTAGGGAGGGAGAAAGATGGGGAGGGGGTTGGAGCTGACAGGTGGTTCAGGAAAGCACCTGAGGCACAGGTTCATCCCAAATGTTCAGCAGTCTTAAAGGAGGGAGGGAGGAGAGAGAGAGAGAGAGAGAAAAGAGAAAGAGGCAGGAAGGAGAGATTGAGAGAGAGAGAGAGAAAAAGGGAAGGAAGGAAGAAAAGAAAAGAAAAAGGGAGGAAAGGAAAGGAGGAGGAAAGGAAATAACGAAGGGAGAGAAAGAGGGAGGGAGGAGAAAGGAAGAGAAAAGGAAGGAGGAAAAGGAAGGAAGGGAGAAAAGAAAGAAAAAGGAAGTCAAGAAAGGGGGGGAAAGGAAGGGAGGGAGGGAAGGA